TGGCTGACTTAGTTGCTATGCCTATTCATTGGCTGACCTTGTTCCCATGTCTCTCCCAGTCATGAATATTTTAACAATAACATCAGCAGTACAAGAAGGGAGTGGGTCTCCTCTTTGTTTATATGCAAGTTGTTTGCCTTGATAGTCTTGGTGGGAGTGTTCTTAGTGGTTCCTTGCTTAGGTTGTTGTTTACTGAGTGGGTAGATCCTTGACTGATGGTTTGTTTATTGGTTGATGCTGATTTTTCCTTAGCTGTTCATGGCCAGTCAGGATGTGTTTTGATCTTTTAGCTTTTCAATTTTTTTTCTTTTCAATCATATGTTGATGATGTTTATGTCTATGTGCCTGTTGATCACAGATTTGTTTTAGTACTGGACTTGCTGGAATTGTCTAATGTTTTTAGCTTGGTCTAGGATGCTCAATGTCTTTCCATTGAAACTATGGTATACTCTTATCAATGTGTCAAGGACCCCACAGTTCAATTCTGAGCTACCAATATTCTCTTCTATAGGTGCAACATTTCTAATTATGGGAACTACATCTCATTTTGGGAATGGAAGCTATTGTAGTAGGAAGTAAGCTTTCAAGATTTCTGGAAGGCCAGGTTTGACACTTCCTGCTAATTATGGGAGCTTTTGGGCCTCTGTATGCAAAGAGACAGTTCCATCCATCAAGTGATTTTTTTTCCCCCAAGGAGCAGACGTTCCCAGTTCAGTGCTCAGATTCCAGAGGAAAACCTCTCTATATTAATAGCCTAGCCTTTCCTGGAATAGAGAAACAGGGAGCAAATAAAGATACACAGAGGGATCCTAGCAATATATCAACTCTTTGTGATGAAAGACATTATGCTATTTTATAGCAGTGTTCAGCTTCCGATTTCAAGAAGAGTTCTTGTAAGCCCTTGCTGAAGCTTATTAGAGGAAGCTAAGACTGTAGGAAGTCCACTTTAGTTCCCTGTTATGCAAAACACTCATGTTTAGTTGTCATTTAAAGAGAGAAAAAGCCCAGTGAAACAACTCAAGCCTCTGTTGAGTTGGGAGCAGGAGAGAGAAATAATTATAATTCATGAGCAAATTATAGTTTCCAACAATGTATATATCAGATAAAAATTAGTTATTCTCCTCTAAGTATAATAAATCAAAAACACATACATTGGCAAGACTCAGCTCTTGCGATGGTTTTAGTAACCATAGCTGTCAGCAAATTAAATATATATGGCAAGTACCACTCACTCATCATGAAATCTGCAGAACCATAAAACGTACAAACTTGAAATTTAGCACGTATGTTCCTCTTGGCTTCCAGGTGCTCTTTAAGAAAGGATTTTTTTGAAATAACTATCAGATCATTAGTATTTCTTATACAGTAATCAACATGCTTTGATGCTAAGGAGTTCTACTCCCCCTCCCCACTGAAAAGAATTCTGTTCCAACTGCCAGTTGCCTTATATTAACATGCTCTGATGCTAAGGAGTTAGACATTNGGGGCAATATGCTGACTCTGTAAACCGCTTAGAGAGGGCTGAAAGCCCTATGAAGCGGTATATAAGTCTAACTGCTATTGCTATTGCTATCTCCCATTACTTGTCCCAGCTTCTGCCAACCTAGCAGTTTGAAAGCATGTAAAAAATGCAAGTAGAAAAATAGGGACCACTTTTGTGGGAAGATAACAGCCCTCCATGCACCTTCGATGTTTAATCATGCCAGACATGGAGATGTCTTCAGACAACGCTGGCTCTTTGGCTTTGAAATGGAGATGAACACTGCTCCCTACAGTCTGGCACAACTAGCACCCATGTGTGGGGGAACCTTTTTCTTACCTAGTGTAGTTCTAAAATAATGTATGGTTAGAGGAGCTTACCACATTCATGAACTAGCAAGTCAGATGCAACCACAGTTGGGACATTTCAGAGGACCAAGAAATTAATGAGGGTTCCCCTTCTTTTCAAGCACTGCAGAAGAGTTGAACATGGGGGTTGAAAGAATGAAGTCAGCACCTTCCTGCTCAGTTCTTTTCTGACCTAGGAAGCTGACCTAGCCAAAGCCATCTTGGAGCTTCAGTATTGCCACACTGGAGCGAGGGATAGGGAGGGGGGATTGGAGATAACTGGGATTGTGTAGTCAAGATAAAATACTTTTCCTGGGAACCAAGGACGTTCTCACATCTGGCCAGAGGAAGGAGGAGTGATGTCACCAGACCTGCGGAGGCTGTCAGGATTGATCCATGTGACTGGCTGTTTGAGGAGAAAACTTTTACTTTTAATTAGGTGAAAACCAAGGGGCTTCTCAGAGTTGGTTTTCACCAGATATGTGCCAATTTGCTATTTCTTATAAAGCTATTCTTTGAGGAATTCACCTGCCTCAGAGTTCTTGTTTGCAATGGATGTATTACTTGGAACCCTGACACCTAGGAGAGAACAGTTTTATTTTCTCTGCTTTGTTACTACTTTTCACCACTCAAATTCCTTTCTTACAAAGCTAAGGAATCATTTTTCTTAGGCAATCAAGATATTCTTTAAGATAGTTTTGCACTATACAGAAGATTAAACATAAGTTAAATAAAAGGGGAAGTTCATTATTAATAGATTAGTTAAATAAATAAAAATCTGCTTATTTTTCTCTTTTTTAGCTAGTAAATGCTCTAATTTTGTGTTTATGGTGTCGCCCAGTGACTTTCACCAAGTGCTGAAAAGGGAGAGCATGCGTGCATGCGTGCGCTTGCTGATCGGGGACGCAACCTGGAAGAGGAGCTGCCCAGGGGGCATGCGCACTGGGAAATTAACTTCCAGTTTTCAGCACGGACTTCCAGTTTCCGGCGAGCGCACTTCTGGTTTCCAGCGCATATGCACGCACAATGATCAGCTAGCTGGCACGCATGCGCAAGCCAAAAAAACAGAAGACCAGCTCTTCAGTTTCTGGCACTGCTGCACATGTGAAGGCCAGCTGATCGTCGCATGCTCATGCGCGCCAGAAACCCGGAAGAAGAATGGGTGACACTGCACATGCCAGGCAACATGCCTCTGCGTGCCATTTCAGGCATGTGTGTCATAGGTTCGCCATCACGAATATAGCCAATAAAAGAACTTAATTGCCTCTGTTTGTTGCTTCTGCCTTTGCCACCGACAAGCCCATTACATAACTAGTCTTTCATGTGTTTTTCCCGTAGTTAATCATTGTGGCATGTGATCAAGGTCAACCACCCTATGAGACGATGCAACCCCTCCAGGTAGCGCTGGATGATATTGACGACAATGAACCTGTCTTCCTGAAGCCACCTGTAAGCAGGTCTACCTCTTCCCTTCTGAACTTCACTGGAGCTGGGACAGATTAGACTAGAATAGAATAGAATAGAACAGAACAGAACAGAATTCTTTATTGGCAAGTGTGATTGTCTTTGGTGAATAAGCTCTCAGTGTACATAAAAAGAAAAGATCCATCCATCACTAATCATAAGATACAACACTTAATGATAGTCATAAGTACAAATAAGCAATCAAATCATACTAGGAAACAATCAATATAAATCGTAAGGATACAAGCAATAAAGTTACACTCATATCATCATACGTGGGAGGAGACGGGTGATAGGAATGATGACAAGATTAATAGAAATGCAGCCTTAGTGAATAGTTTTATAGTGTTGAGGGAATTATTTGTNCTGTGGTTGAAATGTAGGGTTGAATGATCAGGATCACACTAGGCAGGGGAAGGGAACGTATATCTTTCTATCTATATATAAAAGCCAAATATCACTCACTCATCATGAAATCTCCAGAACTGTAAAGCCCACTAACTTGGAATTTGGCATGTATGTTCCTCTTGACTTCTAGGTGCTCGCTAAGAAATGACCATCAGATCATTAGTATTTGTTATAGAGTCATTAACACGCTCTGATGCTAAGGAGTTCTATGCCTCCTCCCCACCTGAAAAGAACTCTGTTCCAAATGCCAGTTGCCTTATATTAACATGCTTTGATGCTAAGGAGTTAGACATTCTACTCCCCCTCCCCACCTGAAAAGAATTCCGTTCCAACTGCCAGTTGCCTCACATTCCATTACCTCAATTCAAACTGGCAGAAATTCCACTCCGTCACTCATAAGCGGCCTGGGGCTCCTTACAGTACTAAATGTCGGTACTCACCAAAATGTCTATGCCTTCCACCTATGGAACTGCTTCCGGACTCAAGGTGGTGGGAGCGATATTCCCTTATGTGTTTCAATCACCGACCACTATTGAGTCAACAGATTGTGAACTGAATTTCTCCTGCATAGCCCAATCACATAGTTTCGCTGCGAAGCACTGGTATCCAGCTACTATAATCTATATAATCAGAATGTGGTGTATATTAATAATATATAATGCAGTTCTATATAATGCACTTATTATTTTTGTAGCAGGGATGAAACTGTTGTAAGAACTTAAAGTTACAAGAATTGACTTGTATTTTCAGATGTTTGGAACCTCCTCTGATGATGTTCTACAAAAGCTCTTGAAAAATGCAGAAGCAGGACAAAAAGTTGAGATCTTATTGTCTGTCCCCTCCATCTGGTGGCCAGACTCATACTCCCTCTGAAGGAGAATTGTTTTAATTATCCATATCTATTAGGCTTTGACAGACTTATGTTTACCTTCACGAGATTGTTTCATTTTTTTAAAAGCAATTTTTAAAAGTTGGTACTGTAGTACTTAATACTGCAATTAGCAAATTAGCTTGTCGGTTGTGTGAATTATGAATCAAATTTATTATGTCATTGTAATAATATTAGTTAAGACAATATCTCATGTTATATTATTCATTTACTTAGCCACTGTTTTTCAACTAGGAAGATTCATAGAATGGTATCCATTCTATTAACCATAGAATGGTTAATTAAAAATGTAGGTGTTTATTTTAAACAAATAAAACATGCTGGCTGTGGAATTCTGGAAGCTGAAGGCCATAGTCTTAAACTTACCAAGTTTGAAAAACATTGGTCCAAAGTCACATGACACAAAGAGGGAGAAAAAGAGAGGAAGGCAGAAGGCAAACAAAACATTCTTGTAATGTTATATGAATATTACAATGGAATTTTTGGACTTCTTCTTCTAGGTATTTAGAAAAAGAGGAACCCAAAATAAATCTTTGGTAAAGGTTCATGAACATTTATTCATTCATTCATTCATTCATTCATTTATAGAATTTATATGGCTGTCCACTCACTTTCAGTAACTCTAGATGGCTTACCCCCCAAAAAAATAACAACCAATATACAAAGAGTAAAAACAATAATCTCCCTGACGACAACAAACAACCAAACTAGCCACTTGATGGGCTCCACCCTACTCTGGGTTCCCCAGGCTTGTTGGCAAAACCAGGTCTCCATGGCCTTGCCTAATTCTGCAGGGATGATGTTCCAATGGGAGGGAGCCCCCAAGGAGGAGGCCATTCTTCTGGTCCTGCCAGATGTACCCCTAAGGAGAGAGGACTGCAACATTCTCTGCCTCCCTGCTCTGGTGGATTGGCTGGGTGCAACTGTGAAGAGACAGTCCTTCAAATAACCATGGAGGGTTTTAAAGGTGACAGGTAGCACCTTGAATTGCACCTCTAATTGTATATTAGAAGCAAGGCAAACTCTGAACAAGATGGCTTCTCAGGATGGTGATCCAAGTTTTATTTGCTCACTCAACTGGTCTAGAAGACTTCCAGTGAGCTTTCCAACCCTATGATTGTATAGCCTGATCACTCAAAAAATCTGTTTAACTCACATAATAACTGAGTGTATGCAGGGGTGGGATTCAAAAATTTTAGCAACTGGTTCTCTCCCTGATTGCTGGGCAGGCGTTGCCATGGTGGGCATGACCTCCTCGGCCTCCTGCACCACAGTGGTGGGAGGAGCTTTCACCCTCCCCATGCTCCAGAGGCTTGCTTTGAACCTCCGGGAGGGTGAAAATGGCCTCCTCCAGTCTCCAGAGGCCCTTCAGAGCCCAGAAACGGGCCCATTTCTGGACTTCCAGAACTTTCAGGAGGCCCATTTTTCACCCTCCCACAGGCCCTACACTTACCTGGCATCCAAAACAGGCCACGTGGAGACTCCTGGGAGTGGGGTGAGCGGGGCCAACCACTCCTTGCAACTACTGGTTCAGTGAACCAGATCTAAAATTAGCATTCGGTTTGCCCAAACCAGTCCAAACTGGCTGAATCCCACCCTTGAGTGTATGAACTATTATGATGCACTTTTGTAATAATTTGAAGTATAACCACATCTGACTCATGTTTTCCTCTTTTTTACAGAAGCCTGTCTTTGAAGATGTCCCTCTAGGGACCATCATTTTGAGGGTTCGAGCCACAGATGCCGATTCTGGACGTTTTGCTCAAATACAGTATAGCCTGGGAGATGGAGAGGGGAAATTTGGAATTAACCCCAACACGGTATTAAGGCCATATAAGAGCCCTGGGCTCAAAAGATAATATTCAGGTTTCCAATTTGTGCTAGGATTATTATTAAGCAATACAAAGCAATTAAAGAATAACAAAACCTCTCGCTGATTTGTTTGTGAGCTCCCAACTATCTATGTCTAGACTAGTATTTTTCAGACCTGGCGACTTTAAGATGTATGGACTCCAACTCCCAGAGTTCCCCAGCCAGTAAAATTCTGGAAGTTGAAGTCTACGCATTTTAAAGTTGCCAAGTTTGAAAAAGTACTGTTCTGGATGATATCACTCAATAATATAGAGTATGGTAATGATTAATAGAGTAGAATAAGACTAATCTTACTGAGTAAGACTAAGCTAGATCTGAACAGCCTTTTCTGTCTTAACCTTGCATTTGGAAGAGAAATTAAAACATTTGCCAGCTGCTGGGAGAACTAGGTTTTGACATACTGATTAGTGAATTTTCACTTTAACTTGTATGATGGCTTTGCATTATCAATTATTTCCTGTGACAACCCATTTACCATTAATATGAATACTGACTTGCCTTAAATATTATTATAAGAATAAATTATACCCTGTACCTATAACGAACAATAAATTGTGCATGCAGCAAACTGAAAACTTGTTGTTCAGATCCAGTTCTGATATAATTTTTCCCGTTGGACAGAATTTTGTAAATAAAAAATGGTGGAAATATTTCTAAAGATTTTATTTATAAATCTGGTATAATGATCACAGCATTTTTAAATATTATGCAGAATCCATTTTCTAAGTGCAGTTTTAAGGGCTAGACACACTGCCTCTGAAACCAATACTAAATTCTATTTATTTATTTTTATTAAGTAATAATAATAAGATTTTATGCTAAAGAGAACATGGTAGTCTAGATATAGCTTTGATAATTATAAAAAAATATGAGGTAAGAAAATCAACATTCTCCATTTTGCCTGCCATAATGGTAATTAGAAATAAATTACTGAATCCACCCCTGGTATTATATCACAAGTATATAAGTTTCTATACTTGGGATGTCAGATTCTTAAACATAACCACAATCACTCCATGCACATGCAGAAACGTGTGACTAGTTTTTCTTTTTTTCTTTTTCCTAATTACTTGCATAGGAATTATTAATTATAGTATTTATGTTGTTTGTATTTCCTGTCATGGGTTGCACCAGTGAGGCTAAAACCAATTTCATTGTATACATGATGTACAATGACAATAAAGGCTATGCTATGCTATGCTATGCTATGCTATGCTATGCTATGCTATGCTATGCTTTGCTATGCTATGCTATGCTATGCTATGCTATACTAACACTAACACTAACACTAACACTAACACTAACACATTAACACTAATACTATACTATGTATTATCCTAACTGTGAAATTTGGAGTCTTCCCATTTGACATAATTTGATATAATTGTNCATATCCAGGGATGAAATGCTATTGGTTTGGGCCAGTTCACCCAAACTGGTAGTAAAAAATGCTGTAAAAAAGTAAAAATTGTCACACAGTTTATCGTTGGAACTTTTTAAAAAACTTTTTAAAACTTTTTTTAGCTTTAGTTAAAAAATGCTTTAAAAATTTTTAAGTTGGCCATGCCCACCCAGTCACATGACCTACGCCCACTAAGCCACGCCCACAGAACCGGAGGGAAAAATTTAAAATTTCACCACTGATTATATTATATCATATTATATCATTTACTATATACCTATGGGTGAGAAGCCCAGGTTCGAGACCCAAGCACCATGTGAGTTCCCGTTCTCGTCCCAGCTCCTGCCAACCTAGCAATTCAAAAGCATGCAAATGTGAGTAGGTAAATAGGTACCATTTTGATGGGAAGGTACCATTGTTTCTTGATGTTACACTGGCTACATGACCACGTAAATGTTTTCAGGCTGTGCTGGCTCAATGACCTTGAAATGGCAATGAGCATTGCCCCTTATAGTCAGCAACAACTAGCAAAGTAAACCAATATATCTATACTAGCTAATGAAGTAACTTCATTGAAATTTATATTGCTTATGAGTAGGGAGGCCTTTTTTATTCTCATGACCATAATTCATATAATGTGTAGTAATGCATTTGTTTTTCTATCTCACATGATTTTTTAAAAAGCTGTTTCTTCATATTCCCCCCTCTCTGTTTTTTGTTTGTTTGATTTGCTCCTACAGAAGGGGAGCCCCCTTTACCAAGTTCTTTCTGTGCCTGAACACTCACGGCCGGGCACCGTGGTGGGGAATGTCACTGGCGCAATGGATGCTGACGAGGGCACCAATGCTATTGTGTATTACTACATTGCAGGTAGATTTCAGTTCTTCTCATCCTCCTCCTTTGGATAGTTTAACTCTACACTCCATAACATCTTTGTCACCTATAATATCCATTTTGCCTTTAATGCACTTTGTAAAAATAATTGCTTAAGTCAGTGTTTTTCAACCTTTTTTGTGCAAAGGCACACTTTTTTCATGAAAAAAATCACGAGGCACACCACCATTAGAAAATGTTAAAAAANCCTCCAGAAGTTGTGAATGCCCCAACACTGGAAGTCTTTAAGAAGATGTTGGATAGCCATTTGTCTAAAATGGTATAGGGTTTCCTGCCTAGGCAAGGGGTTGGACTAGAAGACCTCCAAGGTCCCTCCCAACTCTGCTATTGTATTGTATTGGCATGAAATGTAATATTTCCCTACTTGCTAGCCAGTTGAAGGTGACTTGGTAGAGAGGAGCAAATTTTGTGCACTGTCTGGGATCTTGAAAGATAAACCTCGATGCCTGGTTTGAAAACCTGATCTGATCTGTATGTATGTCTTCTTGCAAATAGTCCTCTGCATTTGAAAACCCATATCTGTACTCCCATTAATTGTTAACATGGGTTGCCTTCTTTTCAATTTAAAACCTAATTACTTGGTGATGAGTTATTTTTCTGGACCATTTCTGAATGTTGACAATTGAAATGCATTCAAAAAAGCATTTCCTCATTTCCAATATATGTATACTTGTATATAAATGGCTCTCTCTGTGTGTGTTTGTATGTTCCAGCATAACTCTGGAACATCTTGAGCAATTTCAACCAAACATGGTACACAGCTTGCTTACTTACTTACTGGAAACAAATACTGTGGGGATAAGACACCCCTAACACCGCTTGGGGTGTGTGTTCTGCTAAGATACAGCCTGTTGTGCCTTACAATGTTTCTACTGTACTGCCTCAAAAGGGCTTCTACTGTACAGCCCTGTGGAATTGCCATAGTAATGGCTTCACAGTACTTCACAAAGAGGCTCCCTCTGGAAGGGGGAAAAATTCAACATTAGAAATTATGTTTGGTCTGGACATTTTCCCCTTATAAATACCCATGCAACACTGAGTTATCACCTAAAACCCAAAGATTTGTTGAAGGAAAAAGCTGAAATATAGCAGGGAGGGCAACTTTATAAATAAAGTTTCTCAAGTGTTGCTCTTTAAATGTTAAACATGTAGTATTGGTTTCCAGTTTTTCTGTATGAATAGTATCACTTTTTTGGAAGGTGACCGATAGAGCAACACAAAAACTCTGTTTCTACAAAACATATTGGTCAATTAATTTTATTATGGGGATTCAGTGTGTTGTTAGAATGGTTATTCGTGCAGCAACATTTAACATGAGTGCCTTGTTATACAGCATTATAGATGCTTTGTTTGCCTATTAACTCATTGTTTTAGCTTCAGGCTTCCAGCAATGTTTCTTGTTTATGTCGTGCCATTAATAACGAAAAAGGTGCTGCAAATAATTCAGTGTGGTGCTTTACTTGCAAGCAAACTGAGCCACTGTATCTGAAGCAGCCACAACCAGTCAACCACTTCAAAAATCATGACTGAACATGCATCAGTCACATCACCTGGAGGTATCTTCAACACATGTAGCATAGAATAGAATAGAATAGAATAGAATAGAATAGAATNAGGGTTTCCTGCCTAAGCAGGGGGTTGGACTAGAAAACCTCCAAGGTCCCTTCCAACTCTTATTATTATTATAAAACACCCCACCCTGTAACAACTCAAATATTAAAAGATTAAAAACAATGGAAAATGATAGACCAGAGAGAGCAAAAGAAACATAACCCTAACACTTTGCCTGCCACACTCCTTAATCCAGTCTTGGGAGACATGCTTGGTTAAACATAGTTCTTGCTTAGATTTTTATTGCAGTATAATTACCACCCCAAAGTGAAACCCTATTTTAGAAAACAAACAGCCTAAAGGCAACCTGACTAGTGCTTCTCTTCCTTCAGCTGGTAACAGGGAGAACAATTTCCAACTGAGTCGGGAAGGGAAACTGCAGGTTCTTCGGGACTTGGACCGAGAGAAACAAAGTTTCTATTCCATCATCGTCAAAGCTTCCAGCAATCGAAACTGGAACCCTCCTCAAGGTCGCCGAGCAGCCAGACTCCAGGCTATGGATCTCAGCACTGATGACACCTTACAAGATGTCCGGATCTTTCTGTCTGACATTAATGATCAGTCTCCCCGCTTCACGAAATCGGAATACACAGCAGGTATAGAGAAGTTCACTTCAATGTTGCCAGAAAAAATGGTCTCAAAACTGACTTGTTTTCTGAGTTACCTTGTGCAGCAGGGGTGAAACTCAGCAGGTTCTGACCAGTTCTGGAGAACCGGTAGCGGAAATTTTTAATAGTTCGGAAAACTGGTAAATACCACCTCTGACTGGCCCTGCCTGCATCTGTTCTCTACCCCCCTGAGTCCCAGCTGATCAGGAGGGAATGGGGATTTTGCAGTGTCCTTCCAAATGTGATCTGTTGGTCTTTGTCGTTTAATTTCCTTCTTCTGCTAGGGGTTGCGACCGATGCAAAAGTGGGTTCGGAGCTGATCAAACTTGTAGCGCTGGATGCTGATATTGGGAACAACAGCCTAGTCTTGTACAGCATTCTGGGAATTCGGTACATCAAACAACAGTCAAATGATTCTGACGAGGTGGCCAACATTTTCAGCATTGGTAAGGTTGGCAGTGAGTTGCTCAGATATCAACTGAATAGTTTAGGTTACATTCCTGAATGTTGCATGCATAAACTTCACTTGCCCAGACATAGGATGTTAACAGAAGCATGACCATTCAGTCAACTACAGATAGTCCTCAACCTGCGACCACGAGTGACCCTAAAATTTCTGTTGCTACGTGAGACAGTTGTTAGGTGAGTTTTGCCCCATTTTACAACCTTTCTATCCACAGCTCTTAAAGTGAATCCTTGCAGTTTTTAAGTTAGTAACACTGTTATTATGTGAATCTGATTTCCCCATTGACTTTGCTTGACAGCAATAGCAATAGCAATAGCAGTAGACTTATATACCGCTTCATAGGCCTTTCAGGCCTCTCTAAGCGGTTTACAGAGAGTCAGCATATNCCTTTGGCATCTAGTCATGCCGGCCACATGATCACTTTGTCCACTTTGTCTTAGAAATGAGCACTGCAGGGGTGGGTTGCTGCCGGTTTTAATACCGGTTCGCAACCCGCATGCAATGCGCGTGTACGCGCCGTTCTATGTAAATTGTTCTTTGCACATGCGCAGAACAATTTACAGTGAACCACGCATGCACAGTCACTAAAAACCAAAATGGCGGTGGTCCAGCAGCGGCGAGAGAATCAGTTTAGGGGCGTGGCAGGCCTGGGTTGCTGCCGGTTCTACGACTGAGACCTGAATTCTACTACCAGTTCAGCTGAACCGGGCCGAACTGGGAGCAACCCACCTCTGGAGCACCGCCCCCTAGGGCTGGGAATGACTAGCACATGTGTGTAAAGGAACCTTTACCTGTGCAAAAAAGACTACCACCTACCCATCCCAAAAAAGAACGAAGAGACCCAAGCACCTCTCCACCAGGAATCAGCCTCCAGATCAGCATAGATTAATCCCCAACAATTTTGGCTCCTCATTTTACCCACCTTGGAAGGATGGAAGGCTGAGTCAACCTTGAGCCTGGTGAGATTTAAACTACCAAATTGCAAGCAGCCGGCAGGCAGCAGAAGTAGCCTGCAGTACTGCACTCTAACCACTGCGCCATCTGGCAAGTAAACCAGGACAGAACCAGAATGGGGAGGAAATTCTGTCTTTCCAACACTCCTTCCTTCTTTTTCTGCTAGGTCAATCTATTAATTTATTTTGCCACATATTCATATATATTATTTCCAATACTTGCAAAGGACTTTTAAGGGCTCATGAAATGAAGTTGAAGACCAAGAGATATTCTTCTTCTACAACTTACCCTGTTTCCCTGAAAATAAGCCCTCCCTGGATAATAAGCCCGATCAAGCTTTTGAGTGCATGCGCTAAAAGCCCTCCCCCCAAAATAATGCCAAGTGTTATTTTAGGGGAAACACGGTATAAAAACCCAAGAATCTCACTCCATAAACAAAGATGAATCCGTTACAACCAGCATCCTGTGTCAGCTTGGTATTTTCCAAACTTTGCAGCTTTCAGTGTTGCGGACTTCAATTCCCAGAATTCTTAGCAAAGTTTACTGGCTAGAGAGTTCACAAATGTGAATGGGTGGCATTTACACATTTGGAAATTACCAAGTCTTAAAAGCACTGGTTCGTGTATGCAATGCTGTTACACTATACTGAAAGGATGGCAATTCCATTTCAGTGTTGTACTTCAGTTGTCCCAGGCTCTTCTTCACCTGTAATTTTTATTGTTTTGGTGGTGATTTCAGGTGTTAATTACAGTTTTGGACATCAATGACTGCCGGCCCCAGTTTGCCAAAAAACAATATAGCACCAGCGTATACGAAAATGAGCCAGTCGGGACCTCTGTCATTACGATGACTGCTGTTGACCTTGATGAGGGAGACAACGGAGTGGTGACATTCAACATTGAAGGACCTGGAGTCGGTGTGTATCTCTAGTAACAAACAAAATATCTGTCAAAAAAGATGATTGACAAATCATATTAAATCTCAATGGTACAAACACTAGCTGCATATTTTTATCAAAAGTAATTAATTTTAAACTGCAGAGATACAAATTGGTGCACCATAAGACAAATTTGCATTATATGCTTATTAGTTTTACTAACTAATAAGCAAATTTACTAACGTAAATTTTAAATTTTATCATCTGTGTGTTGATTTCAAAGGGATGTGATGGCTCAGTGGCTAAGACGCTGAGCTTGTTGATCAGAAGGTTCAGCGGTTCGAATCCCTAGCACCACGTAACGGAGAAAGCTCCCATTACTTGTCCCAGCTTCAACTAACCTAGCAGTTCGAAAGCATGTAAAAAAATGCAAGTAGAAATATAGGGACCACTTTAGCTAAACTCTTTGGCTTAGAAATGGAGATGAGCACCATCCCCTAGAGCTGGAAACAACTAGCACGCACGTGCAGGGGAACCTTTACTTTTACCTTATGTTGCTTTCCTTTGCCACAATTTCTACTTTGCAAATAAGTTACTGAATGTTGGTAGTTGAGCTTTCCAACAGATGCCAGTTGCTTTGTCCTTCTGTCTTATATTTACTAATCTATATTTGACACAGCACAGATCAAATCTTGTTACTAGTTTCCTGTCCACTCATTGGTCACCACAATGTAGAAAAGATGTGGAGACTCTAGAAAGAGTGCAGAGAAGAGCAACAAAGATGATTAGGGGACTGGAGACTAAAACATATGNCTTAGTGAATAGTTTTATAGTGTTGAGGGAATTATTTGTTTAGCAGAGTGATGGCGTTCAGGAAAAAACTGTTCTTGTATCTAGATTAGGATCCAAACTAGAACAAGTTCCTTTAAGAAAGATTTTAAAATAAGTAGCTGTCCTTGTTTCAACCAACATGCACATTGCATTAACATTTACTGAAAGTCACTTACATTTAGAAACAGAATCATTTGGGGAAAATATTTTTATTCACTAAATTAATTATAGAGGAAGTTTTGTTGTCACGTTTTGACTATTTCCAAGTTCTTAAATTAAACAAGTTTTTTTTAAAAAAAATCTATTTTTGAGCACAATAATAAGAAAATAGTCTGTATAAAGATAATAGTATAAAATGAAGCCTTATTACAGTATATCACTAAATTTTATTATGTACTGCACATCAAGAGTTGACTTGAACCACAAGATGGGCAGCAAATATATTTGCTAAGCAAATAAATAAATAAATATTTTTGCCTGGAATGCAGGTAGAACTTAAAACCAAATTGAATAACTATGTACAAACGATGTTTCGTAAAAGCCAAAAGAAATTAAACATTTGCAAACTTGCTTTTCTAACTTTTGTAAACTTCACTTACAAAGATTGCCAGTAGCCATTGATGTTAGAAGTTTACTTTGTTTTGTTTGTTCTACTGAAGACATTTTTATTGGTCAGTGGCCGAAAGGAAGTTTTTGTCTGGTCTCAGACAAAGATAACTAAAAAAGTAAGAGATGAGGTTTTTAGTTTTTAGGTTTAGGATTGCAAGGATAAAACTAGACAGATTTGGGTTCTAGATGACTTTGTTTATTTACGGGGCCCTGTTTCTGGCATGCTGTCACACAGTGCCAGTCCACAGACTGGAAGTTGTGGACCCCTGATCTATTAGCACCTTGAATTCCTGAACATAAAGGCAGAATATAAACCTAAGAACAATTAATAGTAATAGCAGGACCCCAAGAGAATGAAGATAAAACTTAAGCTTCCTCTCCCAGCAATCTATTATATTATAGTATTATATTATAGCAATAGTATGTTATGTTATGTTATGATGTTATGTTAGATTAGATTAATTAGATTAGATTATTTCATATTAGATTAGATTAGATTATTTCATAATATATTATTATTATTTCATATTATTTCATAATATATTATTATTTCATTATATTATTTCATATTGTTTCATATTGTTTTATAATATTATATTATCATATATCGTATATATTATATTATATTACCATATATTATATTATATTATCATATATTATATTATCATATATTATATTATCATATATTATATTGTATTGTATTGTATTATATTATATTATATTATATTATAATATTATATTATATTATATTATATTATATTATATTATATTATATTATATTATATT